TGCAATAAAAGTCAGTATGCCACAATGGAATCTTCTTCACCATAAAAAAAAGGATATTTTGACATAAATTATCACATGAGTGAATTCTGAAGTAGGATGGTATGCTAAATGAAATAAGTTCATCTAAAAAAACAAATACTGAATGATTATACTTATGTGATCAGTAGAGTAGTCAAATTCAGAATCAGAAAGTAGAATGATGGTTGTACAAATTGGTGTGGGGGTGATAGGGAATTGTTTTTCTTGTATACAGTTTCAGTTTAGCAAGGTTAAAAGAGTTTTAAAGATGGATAATAGTGAAGTTTGCAGAATATGAATGTACTTAATACTATTAAAGCATATACCTAATGATCAAGAAGTTATATTTTGTGTTATGTGTATTTTTGAGGTTTACTGGAACATAGTCACATACATTCATTTGTATATAGTTTATGGTAACAGAAACAGTGTGGCCTACAATTCTGAAATATATCCTATCATCTCCTTTAAGAAAAAAGTTTTCTGACACTGAATTAGGTGAAGATAGGTGGCATGCCTACACAATTTTAAGATAGTACATATTGGGAAGAGTAGTTAATACATTTAGTGATAGAATCAGAATTCACATAGAGCAGAACAAATGAAAAAACAGTCTATAACAATGAGGCTGAAATTTAATATATTGCTTACAAAATATGACTTTTGGGTACTTAATCAAACATAAAAGTAGAAGATAAGAATTTAGGAATTAAGAGCAACTGATACTGGGGATGGAAGTACACAAGATAATGGACCACAGGTGCTAAGGTGGTGGGAGAACAATGGGAACTACACCTGAGGGGAGAAATTAAATACTGCACAAAAATTAGCAATGAAGCAAGAAAATGAATAAACTTATTTTTAAAAAGACCAACTGATAATGTAAAAGTCTAGTTTTGTAACCTCAATATATAAACCATGTAATGTGTTTGCCAGAAAAGAGCTAATTTAAACACAAACTACATAAAAGAATCATAGGCTCTAAAACACTGGTGCCCGAAGAACTTCCAGTGATAATGGAAATGTTCCCAATAGGTGCTGTCTAATACAGTAGCCATTAATCATATGGGGCTCTTAAGTCTTGATATTTCTAATGTGACTGACTCAAATTTTCATTCCATTTAATTTCAATTCAAATTATATACAGTGATGTAAACCAATATTACCTCAACAAAAATGTTTATTATTTAAAAAATAATTTCAAAGACATGTCACCCAAAACAAAGATAGTGTAGGCAAGGTTAAACAGCCTGGGATACATCAAATTAAAGAGCTTCTGTACAGCAAAAGAAACATTAACCAAAACAAAAAGACAACCACTTTATTGGTAGAAAACTTTTACACAAAATACTAATGATAAGGGACTAATTAAAAAGATCTACAAAGAAGTGACGAAACTCAACAAAAACAAAGTAAACAACCCCATTAAAAAAATGGGCAAAAGAGCTAAAAAGACACTTCTCCAAAGAGGAAATGCAAACGGCCAACAGGCATATGAAAAAATGTTTCAACATCATTTGTAATCAGGGAAATACAAGTCAAAACCACAATGAGATACCATCTTATACCAGTGAGAATGACACATATTAAAAAAAACTAGCAACAACAAACATTGGTGAGGATGCAGCAGAAAAAGGAAGTCTCCTACACTTATGGTAGGAATGCAGTGAACTGGTCCAACCACTATGGAAAGCTGTGTGGAGATTCCTCAAACTGCTAAAGGTGGAGCTTCCATATGATCCAGCAATTCCACTGGTAAGTAACTACCCAAAGGACACAAAAACATTAATTCAAAAGGAAACCTGCACCACAGTGTTTTTTGCACCACTTTTTACAATAGGTAAGTTATGGAAACTATCCGAATGTCCCAAAATAGCTTAGTAGATCAAGCTGACTTGTGGTAGGTATACACAATGGAATAGTACTCAGCAATCAAAAAAAAGATAAACTCATGCAATTTGCAGAAACATGAATAAAGCTGGAAGAGAGCATGCTCAGTGAAATGAGGCAGACGTTAAAAAAAAAAAACAGAGGCTTCACTTATAGGAGGAATGTAGGGGGTCCAAATAAGGGGTCAGGGAAAAAAAGTAATTATAATAAAGTACAAAAATAAAATCAACAGGCAACTATAAACCAGAGACACTCTGCAGGGTGTGGGAGGAGGAGAGAGTAAGATCAAAATGGGAATGGGAAGAGCACAAGGGATTATGGTGATGGTGCACAGGATCACACCCAAGATGATAAAGCATACATTGTATAAAAATGAAGACTGGGGCCCTCCTTGGTGGCGCAGCGGGTTAAAGTGCAGCACTAAGAAGCTAAGGCCACTTCCGCATGAGTTAGATAGCTGCCTGCCCCGGAGGTGATCCACATGGCATGGCAGACCTCTTCTGACCTGCCCGCTGCTCCCCTCAGCAGTGTACTTCAATGATCTGCCTGTGCTGCTCTCTACTCTGTCTCTGGTGAATCCTCTCACTGCCCCACACCTGTGGCCTGTACCCCAGTTCTGCATGAATAAATAAATAAATCTTTTTAAAAAATGAAGAATGATGTGAAAAATACACAAATATTTTTTAAATTTAAAAATAAAATAAATTACCCAATGACTGCAAAATATTTATATTTTGCAACAGTTTTCTGTAGCCAGTTACTACCATCATAGATTATACAGGTTTAGAACATTTAGAACATGAAAGGCATATGTCATTGGCTAGAGCACATATATTGTGTTTATTTCCTTACCAAACTTATAAACTGTAATAGCATCCGTGAAGTGACCATATTATAAACAATGTTAGAATAAACTGTGAATGAAAAGTCACGATTTAGATGTAACCAAATGGCATAACTAACAGCCATAGAAATTACTAGAAAATATGTAACAATTCTATATGAGAAGCAATTCTGTGTTTCAGGATTATAAAATATTATAACAATAATCACCTTTTTCACAGGTATCCTAGAAGAGAATGAACAGAACTTCTCATATAAGAAGTCATGGAGAATTCATGTGTCAAGGAGGAGACTGATCTACGACAATGGTTGACAAGCTATGGCTTGCAGACTTACTCCAATAAAGCAGCTGTCTTTGTAAATAAAGTTTTATTGGACCCTAACAATATCCATTCATTTATAGATTATCCATAGCTACTTTCACAGTACAACAGAGGGAAACAGACTTAACGGCTTGCAAAGCCACTTACTACCTGGTCCTTCACAGAAAATATTTACTGACATCTGATCTAAAATTGTGGTTCTCAAAATCACCTGGAAAAATACTGAATAGAGGTCTGGGCTTGTTGAAGTAAGGTAGGGCTAGAAGTTCCCTAGTGACTATTTCTTTTTTTTTTTAAAGATTTATTTATTTATTCATACAGACCTGGGGTACAGGCTGGAGATGCGGAGGGTGAGAGGATTCACCAGGGACAGAGTGGGGAGCAGAACAGGCAGATTGACGAAGTACACTGCTGAGGGGAGCAGTGGGCAGGTCAGGAGAGGTCTGCTGCGCCATGTGGATTGCCTCCGGGGCAGGCAGGGATCGAACTCATGCGGAAGTGGCTTAAGCTTCTCAGTGCAGTGCTTGAACCCGATGCGCCACCAGGGAGGGCTCGTGACTATTTCTTTTTAAACATTTTCACATATTTTTTCACAATACGGTATTTATATCCTCAGGTGTGTTCACCACAGTTTTCCTAATACTAAAGCTTTCACAGTTCCCTAGCATAGCTCAATTTGTTCTCCTCCTTTCCCCTATACCCATTTTCTATTTTCCCTACCATACACCTTTATTTATTTCATATGCTATGAAATTCATCCATGTAAATTATACAATTTAACAGTTTCTAGTATATTCAGGGTTGGCAACCATAACCCAATTTCTTTATGCCCCCCCCAAAACTCATGTCCATTGGCAGTCACTCCCCATTTCCCAACTTACATATTTCTAAGCAACCATAATCTACTTTCTGTCTCCATAATATACGTATTCTAAAAATATGGGATATAAACTGAAAGACACAATATGTGATCTCTATCATTAGCTTATTTCATTTAGCATAAAGCTTTTAATGTCCACCATATCCATGATAATATATATCAGTACTTTTTCTTTTTGTTGCCAAATGATATTCCACAGATATGAGTATACCACATTTTGTTTATCCACTCATCAGCTGACAAATATTTAATTGTTTCCAAATTTGAGTATTATGAATAATACTGGTATGAACATCACAAGATGTTTGTACGGACATATGTTTCTTGTTTAACCCAGGACTGGAAGTGGTACATTATGGTAACTCTTTATTTAACTTACCAAAGAACTAACAGACAATTTCCAAATAGGCTGAATCATTTTACATTCTCAACAGCAGTGTATGAGGGTGACAACTCCACATCCTATCTATATCTGTTATCTATCTTTTTGATTATAGATATTCTAGGTGGGTGTGAAGTTGTTACTCACTATGGTTTGATTTGCATTTTCCTGAAAGCTAATGATACTGAACATCTTTTTAAGTGTTTATTCCTCAGTAATTCTGATGCATATTGAAGATTGAGAACCATTAGGAGGTTCATAAGAACTTGAAATTCCCTTTTGACCTTAAAGATTCCACAAATGTAGAACCCAAAAAGTATGTCACTTGCAGTACTGTACTTTCTCATGCCTTATTTTTCTATAAGCCACTGGTATGTAGGTTAACCTAGTCTAACTGCTGTTTTGTAAAGCCCTTATTATTCTTAAAAAAAAGTTTTTAGATCTTAATATAAATTTTTATGTAAAATATTAAAACTAACTTTAGGGTACTAAACTTAAATCATTAAGCAAGTTATTCCATCAGTTAATTTGATCACTTAATGGCAAATATTATGCCCTGTGAATATGAGTATGTATTTTTTTTTCAATACATGTCAATGAAATCCTTAGAAGCTTTTTAAAAAAATGTTGGTCCTTAGAATAAAGAAAATCAATTCTTCTATACCTCTCATGATCCATGAGAAGTTTAGCAATATTCAGATAGAACTGTAAAGGCACATCATGATGTAAAAATTCCATGATACCTAACAAAGAGAAAAAGTGAAATAATCATATTAGTTTCTTTTGCAAGGAAATTTAGTTATTTTCAATAATTATCTGAAATCTACTTTCTATATGTTTTCCATATACAATGTCTTACCTAACCATTTATTAAAATCTTTTTATAAATTAGTAATATGTAATGGTAGAGAGAATGTTATGAAACAGGCACTCTTATATGCACAGCAACAATAATCTGGCAAAATCCTCCTGAAAAGTAATTTGGCAACACTATATACTAAGAACGCAGAGATTAAAAACTTGGGATCCTATCAGACAGACCTAAATCTGAAACCACTAGCCACCGACATAGCCATAGGCAAGTTACGTAAGTTTCTTTATACCTTATATTGTCATATGTAAAATAGGGGATATTTCATCAATCCCTCAAAGTTGTTGAGGTTGCATGAGGTAATGTAAGCAAATTATATAGCAAAGTGTCTAGAAATTAAGCATTGAATAAACAGCAGCTATTGCTATTATTATTATTATTTTCTTTACTTCAGAAAATGTACTTCTAAAGTCATCTGAAATAAATGTAGGAAAGGACTCCCTCATGACCTAGGGGTTAAATCACAGTATTGTCACCTCAGCCTGGGTTCCATTCCCAGCCACAGGACTAATCCACATATGGCACAGCAGACGTCTCCTGTCTTGCCTGCTGCTCCCATTAGAAGTATATTTCAGTAAATCCACCTATTCTGCTCCCCACTCTGTCTGGCGAATCCTCTCAGCTCCATGTCCCCACCTGCATCTCTGACCTACACCAGTTTTATATGTAAAAAGTTATTTAGAAAGACCATTGCTTTAAAAAATATATGGGAAAAGGCTTATGTAAAGAGATATTAAAAGCAATGTAGATTGTAACAACAATAAAAAGGAAATTTACTGTGAGTATCCACTATAGGGTAGTGATAAACTATCACTGTTGAGATTGAAGTAAAATGGAAAAAATAAATATTCACTAAAATGAAAAATGTTTATAAATTATTAAGTGAAAATTATAAAACAAAGGTTGTATTACTATATGGATACAATTCTACAAAACCAAATTAAACTAAGATGAAACGATTGAAAATAAAAAAATAAAATTGTTAAAAGTAATTGTGTTTTGGGCCCTCGCTGGTGGCGCAGCGGGTTAAAGCACTGCACTGAGACGCTAAAGCCACTTCCGCATGAGTTCGATTCCCGCCTGCCCCGGAGGTGACCACATGGCATGGCAGACCTCTCCTGACCCGCCCGCTGCTCCCCTCAGCAGTGTACTTCGTCAATCTGCCTGTTCTGTTCCCCACTCTGTCTCTGGTGAAGCCTCTCACCACCCCTGAGCCTCTGGCCTGTACCCCAGTTCTGTATGTACAAATAAAAAAAAAATCTTAAAAAAAAAAAAGTAATTGTGTTTAAACTCAAGTATTTGTTAACAAATGTTTGATAAGTGTATTACATATACTTGATGTGCCAAGCATAGGAACCCAGCAGTGGACAAAACATACACACACAAAAATCCCTACTGTTAAGGTACTTATATTCCAGTGGGGCTATTGACATATTTTGTATTTTCCAAAATTTTCCTTCATGGGTATGTGCAATCTTCCCACAATAAAACATTGTACATTTCACTTTTCCTACTACAAAAATACTGGTGAAATACTAATGCCAGTAATTAGGGTGACCATTCTAACAGTGTAAAGGACACTCACTAGCAAAGAAATGAACAGACTATAAATATGCAAGTTTTATTCATTCTCTCAATACAACAAAAGTAAAAGGCTATTTTATTATTTAAAACTATAGAAAACTCGGATATAGAAAAGTATCCTAATTTGTAATCTTACTGATGTTGCAACTTCATTACGCTGAATATCAAGAGTATATTAAGTAAAAAAAAAAATCCAGTAATAAAGAGTAATATCACTTTAAACTCTGCTTCTTCATCTACATTTTGATAAAATTGTAATGGGTAATTCTAGTCTGAAATCAGTCAACTTCAAACCAGGCGACTTCAATAATCCCTCTGGACTTAAGTTATTGGTTTGAGTAAGTATATTCTTTTAATTGGTTAATTTCCCGAGTACAAAAATGTGGGGTTGTCTTCCTGCTTCCTAACATTTTTCAGCCTGTATACAGTAGATGATACTGTTACTGAGAGTTGCAGAATGTTTTATACATTTTGCTTTCTGAGGTCTTTTAATGATTGGCTAAGATTCAAAGGTTACAGAAAGTTTTAGCAGTACCAAATTAGTATTAAGTTTAAAGCTACTTCCAAATTTGATTATTGTCCTACTTATTAAAAACTATTATTTATTGGATAATTAGTTATACTAACATATAATTTTATATAGTAAAAATAGTGCACCTGTACAGTGCAATTATATATGTATATAGTTTAAAATATTGAGTATATGTACATAAAATAATTTAAGAAAATTGTTTTTATGATGAAATGTAATGGAAATTCTAGATTTTTAATTTCACTTAAATGTATTTATGTAGTAATAATGATAATAGGTACAATAATAAATAACTTGTACTCATACTAACTTTATACAATAGTCTTGGTGCTAAATGTTTTGTATGTTTTTTGCAGGATTCTCAAAACAACACAGTGAAGTGCCCATTATATCTATTTTAAATATGAAGAAACTTAAACAGAGAAAAGTTAAGTGAGTTGTTAAATGAAACACAATTATAGATACACTCACAGGATGTTTCTGATGGGTCCAGACACTTGAGAATATTAAACAAATAGCAATGTTTATGTAAGTTAATTATAAAAATATATAGCATTATAATGGCTTTTTCCATAAATAGATAATCTTTCTTCATATTGGTACACAATTTTAGAATAGGCAGCTGCAATTCTCTCCTAGACTAAAAGAAAGCCAATAGCTTTTAGTAACATTTTTATCACCCACTAAATCTGCTAGTTTTTCTTTTTTCTTTCTTCCTGGCTAACAATCTCCTTTTCCTATGTGATCAATTTTCTTCTCAATCAACACCACATTATATCTACTATTGGTATACTACAAAAGGTCTCATATTGAACAAATTTATAATGATAATTCAAAATTGTATGTTCTTCACACACAAAGGTGATACCTTCAAGAAGTTCTTCATTAGTTGTTTCACCCTTCAAGAGAATTTTTGTCTTCATGTAAAGTCCAACTGGATATAAATGTTCCTATTTCAAACAAAGAAATCACAATGATATTAAATCTGCAATGTAAAAGACAATTTTCAAGTAATTGTTTTATTTAACAACAGCAGGATGACTCATGATTAAAGGAACTCAAAATTATTGAAGATCAGATCATAATATCTGCTCTATCCAGGAGGATATTTTCTGAAATTTAAACGAAATAATGAAAGGGAAAGAATATACAAATATTACCATTGAGTGGAAACATCTAATGGTAAGTGAAAACCTAAACTGTATGAATCTAATGGTAAATGAAAACCTAAACTGTATGAATCTAAGGCTATATTCTTGCTTTAGTAAGCAAAGTCCAATTATATTTATTTTCTTTTGAGATTCAAAAACAACCAGAGTTTTTTGCAAACAATTACTAAATAGAAAATATGTTGCCTTTCTTATTGGATATGCCTGCCATATTTATTGCTAATAACAATGTACTCTGAATTGTTTTTCCAAGTCCATGTTAGCTTATCCTACGCCATCTGTGATATCTTGCCTCTGTTCCACTTTTGCCTGATAGGATACATCTCAAAACATTTGGCAAAGATTAAAAAGGCAGTCTATAATACATGCAAAAGATGAAACATGATTACTATCTCACACCATACACAAAGGTAAACTCAAAACTCAAAATGGCTAAAAGACCTGAAACATATACAGTAGAAATAGGCAAAACATTCCAAAACATCTCAAAAACAGCTTTAAAGACTATCACCAGAAACAAAGAAAATGAAGGAATAGATAAATAGCTGGGATTATATCAAACTAAAATGCTTCTATACAGCAAAAGAGACAATAATCAAGATGAAGAGAGACCCTAAAAGTTGGGAGAAAATTGAAAGGAACTGATATCAAAGATCTACAAAGAGCTTACACAACTCAACAATAACAAAATAAAGATTCCAGTCTGGAACAAAAAGGCATGGTGCATATACACAATGGAATACTATTCAGCAATCAAAAAAGAAACTAATGCCAATCACAGAAACATGGGTGGAGCTGGAAAGGATTATGTTCAGTGAAATAAACAGAAAGAAAAAGAAAGACATTTGATGATTTCACTTACAGGAGGAACATAGGGGAAACCATACAAGGGAATGGGTGTTGAGGGAGACAAAAAAACAAGTCAAAGTATAAATTGAAAACAGTCATCAGGAGAGGGGGAGGGGAGAGAAAAGGATCAAAAAAGGAGGGAAGAACACAAGAGGCTATCATGACGGTTCATGGGTGTCTTGGTGGTGGTAATTTTATGGGCACAACACTTGAGAGGAGAAATTAAACATTCTACAAAAATGAACAATGATGTAAAAATATATAAATAATTTTTTAAAAGGGCAGTGTAGGTCCCCAGAATAGAAATTTTCTCTCTAAAAGGCAATTAGCCTCTACATGAACAGTGTACTCACTAGCTCACATGAGTTACCCTAAAAATGTAAAATAAAGAAAAGGAGACATTGGCTGCAAATACAGATATCAATACATAGAATAAATTAAGGTTTCAATTTTTTGTTTACTGTATTACTGCTTTTTCTAAAGGGCATGTTGTTTTCACATACAGAGATGTACTTCCAGATCTTGCAGGTCTGTTTTCCTTGAGTCTGTTATACTCACATTTTCTTTATCACATTGATTTTATTACCAAACAACTCTAGAAAATGAACAACATTTTACTTCCATTGTATCATCATCTATTCACTTGTATATTTACACTATAGTGTCCTGACATCTCTTGAAACTATGTTTTCAGAAGTCATAATTGCCTGTTAAATTCATCATCTTTCCCCCTACCACCAATAGTCCTAGTTTCTCTTTAACTTTTCTCATTGTTTTTTCTCACTTTTCCTTACATTTTTGTGTGATTTATTTTCTATTTACTTTTTGCAAATAGTTATTAGAAAACATGCTTCAGGTACAACATGTTTTCAAGGCAAATACTGTGAATACCATTTTTCAAATGAAAAGCATGAGACCCAGATGAAGTAACTCATCCATGATCACACAGTTGGTAAGTGATTGAGCTAAAATTTGATCTCAGATGTTTCTAGATCCAAAGGCCATAATCTTTCCACGACAATATGCTACTGCCCTTGAAGCTCTTTCTAACCTTGGTTTTCCCATTGTTACATTAGTTTCTCTAGAAGATCTAAAGATGACTCTTACTTTACTGTGAAATATATCACATATACTCATGCATACATGCAAGTATGCATATATGAACACATTTTTCTAGGCTCTGCCTCCCAGAGATTCTGATTTAATAGGTTTTTGGGGGTGGTATCTGCATTTTTAAAGTTTCCAGACAATCTGATACAGGGAATACCCTGTATGCTGTACAAGGAACACTTTAAGAGTCAAATTATATGTACATCATTGAAAACAAATACATAGATTTTATGCAGTGATATTAAATGAAAACATGTCACAGAAGACTTTATTATTCTATTTAAGTGAGCTCAAATTTTTTTTATTTTACAAAAGTTTATTTTTACATCATTTTGTACATTTTTTTTTTACCATCTCAATTGTAATCCCCGTGGGTTTCCCATCACCAAGTCACTCGTGTGCCATCACTATAATCCTGTGCATTTCCTTCCCTCCCCCCATTTTTGATCCCATTCCTCAATCCACCCCCCTCAAAATGTCTCTGGTATATGGTTGTTCATTATTTTTGTTATTTTCTCGCCTGGTCCATTATACTCCTGCTATGAGTGAAACCATCCTGTATTTTTCTTTCTCTTTCTGGCTTATCTCACTAAGCACGATCTTTTCCAGCTCCATCCAAGTTGCTGCAAAAGACATGTGTTTCTCTTTTTTGGTTGCTGAGTAATATTCCATTGTATATATGTACCACATCTTTCTAATCCAGTCATCTACTTTTGGGCATTTGGGCTGCTTCCATGTTTTTCCAATTGTAAATAAAGCAGCAATAAACATGGGGGTACAACTATCTTTTTCAATCAGTGTTTTTGTGTCTTTTGGGTAGATACCTAGGAGTGGGATTGCTGGGTCGTAGGGAAGCTCCATGTTTAGCAGTTTGAGGTACCTCCAAACAGTTTTCCATAGTGGTTGTACTAGTTTGCATTCCCACCAGCAGTGCAGGAGAGTAATTGAAGCTCAAATTTAATAACATTGAAAACTTTATCTCTAAAGTATCCATAAAGAAGGAAAAGGAATTACCACACAAAATACAAGATGGACCTCTGTGGTAAAGTGAGGAGGATATAAATGGGCAAAGGTATATAGGGAGCCTCTAATGCAGTTGTAGTATTCTGTTTCTTAATCTGAGTATTGAGTGTATGGGCGTTTATGTCAATATTCTATAAATCATACATACACATTTCATATTTGTGTGTATGTGTATGAGTGTGTTGTTTCATGAAAATATGTGAAGTCATTAGCATTTATTTGCATTATGAAAAGTTTCCATTTCAACATAAATTCTAGTATCTGTGTAGTAAGGTAATAAATAAGTAAAATGTATTTTAATAGGCACTCTAGTTAAACTTATGCAAACTAAAGTTTGGAGCAATTAGTGTATAATTTTCCATTGTATAACTATACCACAATTAATTTACTTATTCTACTCTCGAAATGACTCAGAGGTGCAAAGCAGAACAGATAAAGCTGTTTTCCAAGCCAACTGTGTTATAAACAACCCTGGCATCAGCAATCCATACATGTTTAGTACACAAATGTAATTAGTTTTTTCTAAAATATACACACATACACACCTCGGAGTGAAGTTGCTAACTAGTTGACTATGGTTAAGTTCAACTTTATGAAGTAATATCAAACTGTTATCCAAAGTGTTGTATGGATGTTCAAGAAACTTGGAATAAAAGAGCACATATAAGGAAAAGCTAACAGCTAATACCATACTTACTAATGAAATTCTAAAATCTTTCCCACAAGATCAAGAACAATGGAGAGTGGATGTTCACTCTCACCGCTTCCATGCAATATTGCAATAGATGTTATTAGAAGGGAAATTAGGGGAAAAAAAAGATAAAAGCATCCAGATTGGAAAAAAGAAGTAAAACTATTTTCATTTCAAGATAGCATGACTGTATATAGAAAACTCTGAAGAATCCAAATGAAACCTATTAAAACACATCAGCAATGCTGCAAAATTGTTTCTTTTCTTTCCTCCCCAAGCCCCTCCCCAGCTCTAGTCATTTAAACCACAAAAAAAGGTATATTGTCTTATTACTCAAACTATAAATATGTACTCATGGTTCTATATGTATTTAAATACATGATTGAGAAAATGTAGTAAAAGAGAGAGGGAGGAAGGGATGAATTACAGAAGGAAGGCGAGGAGATAGAATCTCCTGTATAGAAAAATTACAAATAACTAACATAAATGCTCTGCCCTCCTGGGGGTGGGGCATAGTTCCTCTTTGATTAAGTGTAGTCTGCATATAGAAACTTCCTTCCAGAGGAGACAATATGGAAACAGGAAAAAATAGTAATTTTGCAGTGGAGAGCCCTGATGAACACACATAAGCTAGATGGTCAAGGTCAACATCTACAGTGACTATTGCAGTACCCAGGTTTCAGCTGAACATCCTTGTTCAGGTTAGTTAGGTAAACACTTGGGAGCATGACTGCAACATTAATATTTTAAAAATCAACTGTATTTTTACTAGCAATGAATGGTAAATCAAGAAAATACACAGTTGGAGCTGCTAGCAACCAGTTTACTATCCCAAAAGGTACCTACTTCCCACCCATACAGACTCCTGGGGCTTTTCCTAGGCTCCAAGCCCACTGCAGTTGAGAGGCACCACTTCTCCTATAGAACACTGACTGTGTGATGGACATGGAGCAGACACATCTGGGATTGCTGGCAGTCAGTTGTGGCAGTCCCTAGAAGCACCATCCCCTCCCCCATTTGGCTTGGCAGACATCTAGACAGCTTGACTTCTGTATAATCTGCAACTTCACCTGATGGCTTCCTGAAGCCCAAGCCCATAAACACTTTT